AAAACTGACTCATCTATGTATTATTTGAGTCTTTGTGAGGACCAAATGCAGTCAAGTATAATTCAAGTTAGTTGACTTGTCCAGTATTTGGCCATATCATCAGCTATATTGGATTTTTCTTTCATGGGAACATGTCATGTCAAAATATACAAAATGTATACAGAAATTCATACTTTATACGGACCCCCTGGCCTTACGTCAAGGACCACTAGGTTGAGAAACACTGGTCTAGATGGCATTACATTTGCAAAAAGGTGTTGCAGTTCCTGCACTCAAGAGAAATACCTCAACATGAGCACAATGCATAATGACTGAACTCTGTGTACAATACAATATAGCCTATAACAATTTAAAACTGGGTGTAACTAACAGAGATTTATTTCAATGGCCAAAAAAGAAAAAGCATGTCTTACAGTTATACATTAATGGGTAAATTTCCTCACACATAAAACGAAAGAACTGGCTCCAAAACCAATACATTTCATTAATGATTCTGTTTTGCTGTAGTATTTTGCATATTTTTAAAAGCAAAAGTCTTTATTATTATTCGTATTAATGCATGATATTGATAGATAAGTGGCACTTTTTTACCTCTTTTTGATCTTCATTTTCTTTTTTGTTTGCTTGATTAAAACCATTGTAGACAATTAACTAACTATTTAATATTAATATGCATATAATAATGATAACTAAAAAGTGTACATTTATGCACAGTAATTTTTTCTGTCTATAGCTTTGGACCATAAAACCTTAAGATACGTGCCAAGCACATATAAACACACATAAAAGACAGCAATGTGACAGCTGTACAGCAGAGAAAGAGCACCGCAGGTGAATAAAAGACTTATGGAGGGGTCATAAAATATGACAGGTAAAGTTTGTGTTGGATTTATCTCACAAACATCCGCTTTTCTCACTGTTACACTGCAATCCATTTGCCTGCATATCTGAGAGTTTTGCATAAATTTACGAACCCTTAGGGAGTATAAGATCCAGGTTATCACTTATAAATTTAAATCTAGCCCACATTGATAATGTAGAAACACAAAGCAACAACTGTAGCTTCACAGTTATTGCTACAATACTTTCTACTGACAGAGTGGCACAATAAATCCCTTTTTATTCAAAATCAAAAATGTAAATTAAAGGTAACACGTATAATTTTTTATTTTAAAATACTTCTATCCTAGTTTAATATGCAGAGTTTGTGGTACTATCAAAACATTGCTCTGTTTGTTTAACTATCTCGACAAGACTGCCACAGCAACAGCTCAACCAATGGTATAAGTTTGGGGCGGGGCTATCTGTTTAGCTAACCAGTGGCAGACAGGGGGAGTGTTCAGGAAACTTGCTCAGAAAAGACTATAGCTGCATCCCAAAACACGCACTATACACTACATGTATTCAACCATGTAGTATGTCAATTATAAAAAATATATTACTTCGATATGTAATTAAAGCTGCGACAGTTGAGTGTATGAAGTGTCCAACATTCCACACTTCGTTTTTTCGGTTATTTAAGTGCAGTATCCGGGTATTTAAAGTGCACTTTTTCTTTTTGGAATTTTCAGTGTGAACGCACTCCTTGCACTATTTATACTACTAAACGTCATAGAATAGTGCATAAGTGTGCGATTTTTATATATGAACGTGTACTAAGAGCTAAATCATAAATTCAGTGAGCATTATAAAAGCCTTATTGTAAATAAAGTCAAAGTAATTTGCCCGAACTTGCTATATCAGCACATTTAGTTAAACACACACAAATACATTGTCAATTCACACTCTGAAAAGCATCCCACGCACACACTTTGATTCAAAACTGACATTTACCTATGCTGATTACGGTTTGTGCACATACAAAAAACAGATTACATATCTCTTAAACAACTTTCAGCCCCAAGCTTCAGTCCTATTTAATAATCAACCTGGTCTGGATTGGTAATGTTTCCTTGAACAGCATAGTTCACCCAAAAATTTGGAATCGTTTGCTTGACTCTCTTCTTTTTTACTCACATGAGGACAGGTAAATGATGACAGGGTTATTCACATAGAAGTATTTGTGATGAATATGATTTAAGAAAGAAAAAAAAATGATGGGCATGAAAGAATGAGAGTATGAAAGACAACAAACAGAAAAGAAAACAACAGATAAACAGCAAAAAAGACAGAAACAGAGACAGAATGCTACATTTGATCAGACATTCCTCATAAACATGCCAAAAATGAAGGTTGCATAAACAGTGACTGAATGCTGACCAAGCTGCCTGTCTGTCTCCTCCACGCCATCCTGTGCTATTACATTACTATCAGCCTCTGGTATGCTGAGGGTCATGTTAGAGGTGAAAAAGCCACTGGCTGCAAGACACTCAATGTAACTTCTGTTCTAAGAATGTTTTAGGAACTTAAAGGGGAGTCTAATGCAATTTCGTGCATTCTGAGTTATTTACACTGTTAAAGAGTTGGATTCTCATGCTAAACATGGCCAAAGTTTCAAGAAACGATTTGGACGTATGACGGAGTATTTCTGTGCCATAGGGCTGCACGATTATGACAAAAATCATAATTGTCGATTGTTCCCTTGAAATTGTAATTGCAATTATTAATTACGATTAATCACAATTTACATTGAATGAGGTTTATACTAGGCTTGCCGTGATAGACGGTGTTGATGGTGACACCGTAACGCCCCGCCCCTGCGGTGATACCGGTATTACCGGTGTTGTCACACGTCGATTAACCGGTGGGAAAATTTCCTCACCGTCACAACCCTAGTTTATACCATTGTTTGAAGCAACTACATGCCATATTTTTATATAAAAATAAACAAGCTAAAACACTCAAACTGAAAAGCTTTTATTGCTTTTCTATAGTATTAAGCCTCAAATGTCAACTATACGTTGGATTGGTTTCTTCTTTAAATAATAATAAAAAAGTTCAAATATGCATGGTGTTATATAAATTAAAACAAACCCTTAAGATAACCTGTAGAAAGACCCACTCAGTAAAAAACCCACTCAGAATAACATAAGTGGGCTTCGATTAATTGCTGCTTTGAACGATTACGTAATTGTGGCATCCGTAATTGTAATCGCGATAAGAAATTTGATTAATTGTGCAGCCCTACTGTGTATACACTCCTTCCGGGTTCAAATAAGTTTCGGAAAGTTTTTTTTCGACCATGGCCCTGTATGACGTCATGAAGCGCGGAATTCCTTTTTACAGAACTTGCTCAAGAAGAATATCTCCAAAGAAGTGTGTTTTTGGTTGAGAGGGAAAGATAATCTTGTTCAGCTTCCCAAAGAACCCAGCGTTGCGTGAACAGTGGATGCAGTTTGTTTTTCCGGGACAGCAACGGAGTTTCGCACAAATGTTTGTTTGTTCCCATCATTTCAGTGACGAATGTTTTATAAACAAGGCCCAGTTCAACGCTGGATTTGCACATCCTTTGATACTGAAAGATGGAGCGGTCCCAGCGATAAAAGATCCCGGTCACGAGTCAGAACCGCAGGCAGTAAATAAAACTGCATCCAATTTCTGTGTTTTGTTGGCAATCGGCGCTTAAGTGCTCGTGACTCTTTAGCTCCGCCCACAGCACGCCTCCAGGAGCTTGGCTGTTCTCGGAGAGAATCGTAAAGCTGTATTTTTCTTCTATAAATCTGATAAAACTAAAGACTCTTCAGAGATATGAAAGATGCAATATTACTCTATAGGTACTCAAGATTAACATGAGATGAGGCAGAAACTGTGTGTGCTATGTCCCCTTAAAGTTGATGCAGTTCACCATAAAGGCTTGTAAGCAATTGAATGCAAGCAAGCGGAATGACATTTTAACCAAAGAACAGATTAAAACATGTCTGATCAAGCAACACTTCATTCCACTTTTAAACAGAATGAGCCATTAAACCTAGAAAAAACTTGGCAATCAAATCAGTGAGAGTACCAGTGAGATCTATGACTTTTTTAAGGCATGTCTTTAATGTTTCCCTCAGGCCTGGTTTGCATGAATTCAACAGATTAACTTACTCTACTGCATGTGAATAACTATAACAAACTATACTGCCATTCAAAAGTTTGGACACATGCATTAATGCCTGCCCACTTTTTCAGTCTTCGTTAAAGCGTTGAACCATGAACCAAAGGTAAAACACAACATTTCAAACTTTCATCAGACGCAAAAATTTATTTGAAAATCAAAAAAGACAAAGGTACAAGACTGTGTACTTAATGGCTTTAGTGAGGGAAAGAACTACAATCCCATGAAACACTGCGAATAACAATCAATTAAAAAAATTATGGAGAAACATAACACTATTCATTTAAAGGTGTTGATTATACCTATAGAAAATATATTTTAAGTTTATTGCAAAATGTGCTTATATATACAGTATACTAATATTTAAGTGCATTGACAGTATAGCTTTTCCCTGCAGAGCTTTTTTGGCTCAATCTGTGCATCAAGACTCTCTGACTGGTGGAATTTCTGTACAGCATCATGGGTAATGTAGTTTTTCACCACAAATTCAGCTGTTAAACAATTATTTTAACAATAAGTAGAAATAATGCAAACGAATGGCTTCAACAAAAGCATTTACCATCAATCAACAACCCTGGAACTCACAGTAGGTCTGTCTCATACGCTTTACGAGTTATTGTTAAAAATCAATTTCCCTCTGGAGAAAATGAAATGGGTTTTTACTTCCAAAATCCTACTGCAGCTATTGTCCACTTTTGAAATAATAGAAAAGTCATCATAACTACTAAAAAATGCAAACATTTTTAAAGTATGAAGTTATTGACTAACTTCACAGGGTGCAAACTGGGAATGAGATGAGACTTAGTAAAAGTGGCCAAACTTTTGGTTAATAATGTATTTGCATACAATGCACATTGAATGCTATTTATGCATTAATATAACTACTATATCACCCAAACTGTGTCATCTGCACAGTGCTCTCTATAGTGATGGGATGAGTTTGGTGACAACTATCAGCACTGACCTGTCATGTGGGACGGGGATGATGGAGGACGTGTGCGGGTGCGGCGTCTCGGGAGATGGCAGGCGACATCCTGGCTCCCCTGGCCCTCTCACTGGGATCCGAGCCTCCACGTGGGTGCCATTCAGGATCAGGCGATGAGCAGGGCAGCCATGTTTAAGGACCCCACCTGAGCTCTGTTCGTCCTCCTCTCTGCCACATGCAAACTTAGAACAAAAAATGAGACATATAATTTTGATTTACCAGTTAGGACATGTGTCCAAATGGAATGAAACAAGAATTCAATTTGGTTTTAATCACATAGTAAAATTATTTTGGTTACACTATTTATGATGGTTGTTCATAGACCTAAAGAAAATTTTGACAAGCACAGTTTTCTCTCCATGTTGTCCTCTTAAAACCGAAAGTTGGAACTGGACATGCTGAAGGGCCCTTCTTTAAAAAGCCAAATGTGAATCATGATTTGCTACTGCTAATCAATAAGAGGTGGTATTAGAGACATTCTTTTCTGGAGAACATTTTACTGGATAAAAATTTGGATAGTCTGAGATCATTAATACTTTTAATCCATTTTCCAGGGTTATTATACTTAACTAAAACTAAAACCACACACAAAAAAAAAAACATTTATGTTACTTGAAACAAAAATAAATATGGGGAAAAAAAGAAAAAAAAATATAAACTGAGATATATACAGTATATATACTGTATACACACACACACACACACACATATACAGTATATATATATATATATATATAAACATATTAATTTCAGCTAGTTGCCAAAGTAATATTTCTCACTTTCGCTTAGTTTAACTAAAACTAAATAAACTAAAACCAATAAATACAAATTAATAAAAACTATATAGACATATTGAAAAAAAAAACTAACAAAAATGACAAAAACACAACAAAATTACTAAAACTGAACTAAAATGTAAGTAAGAAAAAGGATGATCTATGACAGGAAATTTCAGCAAACTTCCAAGGGGGCCGCAAGATGGCTTAAAAACAATTAAATTAATAAATTAATATTAATATATGAATAATACATGCACATTAATATATGAACATCATATTTCACCCCTCAATAGCTGTTATTTTTATTGATAAACATGCAGATCTTGAGACCTTGTTTGGAATCACAAAATTAATTGTGATTAATTTAATATATCACAACTCCCAGTTTCTGTTAAAGCCACTGACGCATGTAAAAATGTTTATTTATGCTCAAACCTAACAAACATGGACTAAAAGCAACAAAACTTCAATGTTTTCAAAAAGATACTTTATCTAAAATCTTGGGCCGAAGATTAAATTTGACATTTACTCTTGAATTAATGAAGCATCCTGTCAGTTGGTATTATAACTGTCTACTAGCCTCCCCGTTCCTGATGTGCCATATTAAATAATGACTTATTACTCATTTTAACTGCATACCTCTAATGCCAAGTACTATTTTCAGAAATTCTAAATATGTTGTTCTTCCTGATAGCTTAAATGGGATTCAATAAATGCACGCACGCCCCGAAAACATTGCGCTCATGCATGTGTTGCAGTACGGTGTGGCAGTGCTGCGTTGCGTTGACTGCACAGCTCGACATGCGCTGCGGCCCACAGCCACACAGCACACCACATACAGTATTCTGACGCGTCCTCGCGGAAGGGGGCGTGTCGCGCTCCTACACTCTCATCAACACAACAACGCGCTTCTAAAAAGAACGCTCTGAAGGAACTGAACGACGCATATGGTTACTTCAACCATAAACGACGCATAAACCAACTGTGAATATAATAATAACAACACTTTATTTTTTCCAAACCACAACGGAAGTTACATATGGAAACACTCGTTTTTAATCAGTAAATATCCTGGAAAGCCATCACCAGAGGAAAAACTAAACGGCGTTCCTGAGAAAACAAACCCTTCCACCGGCTTCAGCTCGCGGTAGATGCACTAGGGGGGAGGGGTGAATCGGTTAAATGTACCAACCCCCTTTTTTCTCTTTAAACTTTGAACATGCAAGTAAAGTCGCCATCTTAAACTACGTGCAAAACAGTTAATGCAACGATTAAATGAGATTTGCATTTACTCCACAAGCAATTTCTCCATGCAGACTTGAGTTTTAATCGAAATGCAGAGCTAACGTTACCGTCGCACGACTGCACCGTAACGTTACTGTCGATTTGACTCGTTACTAAACGCAGCGAACAGTCAAAAATAAAAAAAAGTCGGCGTATGCAAAACTTAAATGAGCATGCATCACTTACCTTCTTATGAATGTAGTGCCCCTCTCTCGTTGAGGTAAAATAATGTCCATTTGGAGAGATTTCAAAATTCCTTGAAGCGCCTTCCTGCAGCGTGTTGGTTTTAGACGCTTTTCCAGTGACAGGCTCGCCCCCCTCATGCGTGCTGTCGCCGGCTCGAGGCTGCTCGAGGAGCCGCTTGGAAGTCATTCTCAACCTGGATCAAATGTGACTAAAGCAAAATCACCAGCGCTCGGTAGATTTTAGTGCTGAGCGGGATAAGATGCATTTAATAGTATTGTGGATTACGACTCCCTGATGAGAGTGTATTTCACTACGGACCCTAAAAGCAGCCGGTAAAAAGGGATAAAAATGATTGTTTTGTTTTCTCTCTCGCCGAGCCCGACGCCACGCCCACTCTATCCTGCGCGTGCAGCCAGGCGAGATTCGCTCGGCTCCGCCCCTCATTGATTCTGATTGGCTCTCGGCGTACATAAACATTCTATTTAGGCACGCGGCCATTACAGCTCTGCAGCTGATTGGTCGCTCGGGAGACGTCGGAATGATTTTTTCGAGAGTTTAGGAGGTGTGTCTCGATGGTTTGCCGGCCGGTACAGACAGAGAGGAAGAGAGAGAAAAAAACACCGGTAAAAATTGACGCACTTTCTAAAAGGAATAGTTTCTCAGCTTGAATGTCTCTGTACGGCGAAACAAATCATTAAAAAAAGAACTTGTGGAACGCATATGAACACAAACATGACTGGGAAATACTTTTAATGAGCATTCATGCGAGCTAACCTGCTGGGGGGAAAACAAACATCTCAAACCAGCCTGAACTGGTTTGCTGGTTTTAGTTGGCCTGTCAGTTTTAAAGGGGTTTCAGGCATTTTCAGCTGGTCAGACTGGGAGATCAGGTAAACCAGCTGAGCAACAGCTGTCCAGGCCGGGAGACCACCCTAAACCAGCCAAGACCAGCAAAGTCAAGCAAAAAAAATGCTTTTTTTTTTTTTTTCAGCAGTTTTCAAAACCGCCACCCTATATGTAGTTCTCACATTAAACGTTAATATGTCAAGCAAAGAGCTTGACCTTTGATTTGATGCACATTTTGTGGATCTTCTAGAAATGTATGTATTTGTGCAATTGATAATTATTTAATAGCAATTTTCAAAGACTTAATGTATTCTTCCACCTTATAAACTGATTACTGTTAAAGCCTGTTTCCGGCGCATAATAGAAAAATCTAACAGGTAATTGAGACTTTTTATCTCCCAGTTCTGAGCTTTTTCACACAATTCTAAGTTTATATCTCACAATTGTGAGACAAAAAGTCAGAATTGCAAGATATAAACTCAGAATTTCCCCAGCAATTCTCACGTTTTTTCCTCAGTATTCTCAATTGTTTTTTTTTCACAACAAAATAAAAAAGTAAAGTTTTTATCTCACATTTCTGAGTTTAAATGTTGAATTGTGAGATGTAAACTCAGAATTGTAAGATAAAAATACACGTTTTTATTATTATTATTAATTTTATTGATAATTCTATTACATTTTTCATTCCATGGCTGAAACAGGCTTTTAAAAATCTAATTCTTCAATAAACATTAACATGCATGCTAAATTGCAGTAGAATAATCAACGTACAACCAGTCATAAGGTGCAACTTTATTAAAAAAGTAAAAACAAATATTTATATTAATTTTTTTTATAGAAAACATTACAATCTTTTGCACAGAATATTACTAAACAGATTTTTTTTTGTCTTTATACACTACACTCTGTGTTACACTTTGGGTGGACCACACATAAAATCAGTTAAGCCAAGGTGCTATGCTGGGGAAGCAGTGTTACAATGTACACACTTCACAACATACAACCTAAACAGCAGAAGTAGAAACCTTTCATTGCTTTTTAAAACATCAATACCAGAGCTTTTCTTTTATAATATAATTAAGTTGCATTGCAGTATGCTCTATATACATGCGATTTGGTCTGTTTTGTTATGGTAGAATGTCCATTTTTGTTTAACCACATATGGTTGAGTGAACAAGAAGCATCACGTCAGTCGATATGTCTGTTGAATGCAAGCAGATGGATTTTTAATAGATATTTTATTTACATACTTGCCAATAAATATCATACTTCGGGCATGTGATTTCTCTGCCTCCTTTAAGAACAAACGTGGTTGAAAAACCAATAAACCCTTGTGCAACCTGTACAAATCACACCCTGAAAGATCTCGTTTTCATCAAAAACAATGCACGGCCGGACAATCGGTTCTCCCAGCCTCTCTCTGAAGCAACAACATCAAAAGCACTGATCCGCCCCACAATACAAAGCAAGCCCTGTGCTAGAAGGACAGATTCAGAAGTGGGAGGAACCGCCAAGCCAAAGCTAAAGTGGAGCACACTTCCTCCCTCAATATGGCAGACGTCAAATCTCAAGGACACATGTTAATAACGGCAGGGAGGGCCTACAGTTGCTTTGAGACCAGATCCCTGCCATTTCGGACGAGTCCTGGACCAGATATGTGCTTTGTGCTCCCTGAGAAGATCCATAACCTCTCAGCAGCCGCCGCCTGTGGCGTCTCCACTTCCCATTTGGTGACTGGTATTCCCTATTTTTGGCACTATGTCTTATAGTGAGAGGCACAGGAATGAATTATACATTATATCTGATGCACCAGAGAGGATGAAGAAAAAACGAGAGCTTTTGTTTTCAGAAGCATGCATTGCGAGCAAGGAAATAGTTGCAGCCTACTTGAACAGAACAGTGGAACACATGAATGGCAGTGATAGTAGCTTTTTGAACACGTTGCTACAAGTGGAAACGAGTTAACCAATACAGTTTTATAAGAAAATAGAGTGCCATAAAAATCTTTCATCTTGGTATATATTAAAACTGACATGACGAACCCAACGTTTCTCACCAGAGGTTGCATGTGACGTGGATGAGGACAGTATCTTGGTTATTTATCTTTAACGAACTCTATCTATCCATCCCTGAGCTGATAATTTGGCCCTCTCGAAACCCAAAATCCCTTTCCTCTGGGCCTGTCCTGTAGCCCTCCAACAGACTTCAATGATCTGAATATGCTGAGTACACTCGGTGAAGTAAAATCACCAACCATGCATTGGAGTTGTTTTATTTCATGCCGATGGCCCTCGGAAGTCTTCGGGGATCATCTCGAATGGTTTCCCCTTGCAGAGGTTGCTCCATTGTGCTATTATTTTCCCCGATCCTAATCCAAGCTCCCATAATGCATGTGGGAAAGGCATTGTTTACAATAGGATCAAGTCGCACAGACAGCCCAGAATATGAGACGTCCTTCCAAAAGACATTTGCTAGCAACCATGAGCCTTGTGCTGTGTTTTCCTTGGACACTGTGTCCATGAAATGCTGCTGACAGCTAAGCCAGCCGGAGGCCCAGCGAGCCGGGGAGCAGTGCTGGCACACACTGACCTGAGAACAGTGGATCGAAAGCAAACTAGAAGCCTTTATTGCCCTCTGTACGCACACCACAACCTTCCAGCACACTGACGCTACAAGCCTCATAAACTCTCATGTTAACAATGGCCATTGAAAATGACACGTTAACTAGCTAGGCTAATGCATCCCGAAAAACCTTGTTTTGCTTTTTTTTCTACCTTCTATTCTGTTAATATTTCAAAAATGTCAAATCTTGTGAGAAACGAGTGACATATCACTAAAACTACCTGACACATCCAAAGATTGGGCAGAAGTGGCATGCTATAGACAAAATAACCAAAAATCTAAAGAAATTTAAGAGCTAATGCACTTACACAGCCATAAAGTGACCTTTAAACAGGCCCACATGGAATCTGCACCCGCAAAACTCCACAGAAAGCTCTGCAAAATTGTGTTTTAATTATTTTGCAGGTTTCTTTATTAAATATTTGTATATATAAATAATTATTAGTTATTTGAATAGAGAGAGATTCCCACGCTACTGTTCAAATGTTTGGAGTCAGTAGGATATTTTTTTCTTTTATTTAGCTGATATAATGTTACAAAAGATTTCTGTTTCAAATAAATGCTGTTCTTTTGAATCTTTTATTCATCAAAAAATCCCAAAAAAAAAAATCACTGTTTCCACAAAATTATTAAGCAGCACAACTGTTTTCAACATCGATAATAATAATAATAAAAATGCAGCTTTTTTTATAACAGGAATAAATTGTATTTTAAAATATATTCAAATAGAAATGAGTTTAAACCATAATAATATTTAACAATATTGCTGTTTTGAATAAAATAATGCTTCCTTGGTGAGCATAAGAGACTTAAAAAAACATTTTTAAAAAGTCATACAGACCCTAAACTTTTGAACATTAGTGCATATACAAAATATTATTATTATTATATATGTATTTTATTGTAAAGTAATAATAATGGTATCTAATGCATTCAGGTAACCAGGTAGCTTCATTAAACCCATTTTATCAACATTAAATCTATTAAAAATAATTCTGCAGATTCTTCTCCAAGATCAGTGCCAAAAAGAAAAAAAAAAGAAAAGAAATAAATACCTGCAGATTCCACCTGGGCCTTACTGCAAGTTACATGCATACTGAAAAAATGACCAGACATACCGTATGTACACCACCTAAACTGTCAGACTGCATACATAATGTTTAAGGTGGAAAACAAGAGAAGTTAACTCTGTATGTTTTTTTCAGCTAAACTAACACTGTGATGGTGGCTGGCCGTCTCAAGCTGAGAGAACCAGTCAGGTGTGTTTTCAGAGCGGGAGGGGACAGGGAATAAGCTGACATCTCATGTGCTCCCTGTGTTAATGTGCAGGTAGGGCTCACTCGGCAATGGGACTGACCGACAGTGTGTATATTGTGATTTTACACTACCCGTCAAAAGTTCGGAATAATCAAGATATTCTAAATGTCTTTGAAAGGCATTTCTTATGCTTAACAGTTACAGTTAAAACGATAATATTGTGAAAAATTATTACAATTTAAAATAACAGTTTTCTATTTGAATATGTTTTCAAATGTAATTTACTCTTGTGATGTAAAGCTGGATTTTCAGCATCATTACTCCAGTCTTCAGTGTCACATTATCCTTCAGAAATCATTCTAATATAATGATTTTCTGCTCAAGATGTTTTATCAACTCCTGAAAAGTCAGCTTCACATCACAGGAATAAATGAAATTTTAAAATATTCAAATAGAAAACATTTTAAATTGTAATAATATTTCACAATATTACTGTATTTTTGATCAAATAAATGCAGCCTTGGTGAGCAAAAGAGGCTTCTTTCAAAAACATAAAAAAATCTTAATTATTCTAAACTTTTGGCTGGTACTGTATATAATCAGATCCAAACTTCCCTGTGCTACAGTGAGT